AACACCCGGAGTCTCTCAACTAGTATTGTCGCAAAAATCTTGTAATCCACATTCAGGAGCGAGATTGGCCTATAGTTCTGGATCAGAGTTTTATCTGTATCGGGTTTCGGGATTAGGGAAATGTAGGCTTCCATCCAAGACCGGGGTATCCTAGAGTGTAATAAAACCTCATTAAATAGATCTTTAATGTACAAACTGAGTGAGTCAAAGACTCCTTTATAAAATTCACTAGGAATCCCATCCGGTCCCGGAGTCTTGCCATTGGCTTGTTTCTTGATAGCTACTGCTATTTCCCCAACTGTAATTTCTGCATTTAAAATTTCTTTACAGTAATCCGGAATCATCTCCAATTGTAGATTCTGGAGATAACTCTTGAGTTTATCTTCCTGATGTATTTCTTGGCTATATAAGGAGGTATAAAAATCTTGGGCCACCTTTGCTTTTTGCTCTGTAGTACCTACCGAATTTCCCATAGAGTCCTGTAAAAATTCAATCTTTCTAGTTTCTGCCTCTTTTCTTAATCTATATGACAACCACCGGCCCGGCTTATTAGCATGCTCAAATTGGTTTTGTTGACATTCCCGAATTTTATTCGCCAAATCGTTTTGATCTAGAATAGATAACTCATGCCTAATCAAGTCAATTTTCTCCTTAATCAAATTATTATGCGGATCTAAACGCAGCTCTCCTTCAGCTTTCTCCAATTCAACCATTAACTCAATCTGTTTGGCCTTCTCCTTTCTCCATTTGGTAGCTGTATATTTTATTACCAATCCCCTAACTACTGCTTTGATAGTATCCCAAATATTTTGAAGGGAAGTATCTTCTCTCTTGTTTTCGGTAAAAAAAAATGATCTAATTCTTTTTTAATCATATTTATAAATCCCTCATCTTTCATGATCTCAGCCCTCATAGACCATCTCACTCTTCTAGTGGACCCCTTCCATTTTATTACCAGGGGATGGTGGTCTGCCCATATATTCGTCCCTATTTCAACTGAATTTATGCCTTCTTTCAAATCTGATGTTGACCAGACCATATCTATTCTAGACCACGACCTATGCCTGGGGGAGAAATATGTAAAATGCTTTTGCATAGGATGGAAGTCTCACCAGACGTCTCTTAATCCTATTTCTGTTCTTAGGTTATCCCATGTTTTAGGGAGTACCTTCCTATGCCCTTTTTTATATTTAGGAGAACCCCTTCCTGGATCATAATCAATTGAAGTATCAGCAATCGCGTTGAAGTCACCTACTATGCATACATGCTCGTAATTTAATTCATTAATTTTCTTATGCAAATCTTTAAAGAAACCCATTTGGTTAACATTAGGGGCATATATATTTACTAACAATACTATTTTTTGGCCAATACTAATCTCTAACATCAGTATCCTACCCTCTGTATCTGCATATACTTGATGTTTCACCAGGCCTCTCCGATCGTAAACAACAACTCCCCTTTTCTTCTGGTCAGCCAAGGATACATACAACTTCCCAAGTTTGGGATAAATTAAAATCCTAGAATGGTCTTTCCTTATATGGGCCTCCTGTAAACATATAATATCATAATTATCTTTTTGAAGTTTAGCCCAGACCTTTTTCCTCTTAGTGGGAGCATTCAGGCCATTGATGTTAACGGAAAACAGGTGGAGCACCTCATCCATACCTCTACTTACCTGCGTTCTTGAGTTTCTGGGATCTGGTCTCGATTTGGAAATTTGTTCCTCTTTCTTCTCCAGATTGGGCTGTGTCTTTGTCATGTCCAATATGCTCTGTGGCTGTTGTTTCCTGGGTTACCTCTTCTTGGCTCTTACCTAGGTTACCACCTTCACTCTCTTGGTCACTAAAATTAATATAGGCCTCCACGAAGTCCTGCGCTTCCTCTACGGTTTCCAATCGTAACCTCTGTTCTTGCCAGGTAAACGTCAGGCCTTCCGGTAGAAGCCAATGATAACGTATTCCTTGTTTCTTCAGCCATGTTGTCAAAAAGTCATATTTCCTCCGAATGTCTTATACTCATCTCGGGAGCTGGGGCAATACTGTTAGTCAGTTATCTTTGTAAGTAAAAGCTTGGTCCCTCGTTTTCCGAAACACTTCATCCCTTAGTGCTGTTCTAGTAAATCGAACATGGATCTCTTTAGGGAGCTTGTTGCACCGAGCATAACTAGTATATACTCGGTACACATCGTCAATATCTCTTGAAACTTCTGCAAAATCTCTTCCAGTAATTCCTGCAACAATCTCTCCCATTAGTACATCCAAGTGCTCACCTTTCTCTTCAGAGATATTCTGAAACAGTAAGAAGTAGCCAGATATAGCCATTTCGAGGAAGATAATCTCTTCCTCGGTTTTTTTTTATTAGCCAAGGTTTGCCGGAGTTTGAGCCGCTCCATCCTACAGGTCACCTTCTCGGTCTTTATCTCAGAAGCTTGAATCCATTCCTCGTGATTAGTCAAAGTATTTTGGACCTCCTCAAACTTTGCATGAAACAACCTGGTCTCAGTAGTTAACGTTTCGACATTCCTCTTCAGCTCTTCCAAGGTCTTTGACATTGAATCTTGATTTTTAATCAACATCTCCTGTATAGACTGGAGAATATCTTGCGTCAATGCTTTTCCCGGAGTAGCCACATCTTCAGATGATCTTCGTAGCATCACAGAGTGTTTGCTGGAGATGAGGCTGAAGAGGTCGTGATTGCCTTCTTCTTCAAGGTAGTAGTCGTGGTAGCCATTTTGATATTCCTAAAAAGTCTTTCCAGGCAATCATACAACATCAAATGGTTTCACCGCCTATTATCAAAATTCACTCTTGCTTCGCTATGTCCAAACCACACTAGGGGTAAATTTACTCACTAATTCCTACTGGCTATCTAATTCCTATTGGCTATCTAAAAGGAAATAGGAAAGGGAAAGGGAAAAAAAGGGTGGGGGGGGACAGTCCAACTATAATGAATCTAGGTGCAGTTAGCAATTTTGGTCACTAGATGGCAGCAAACACCAACTTCTCCAGTTCTCCAGCTCTTCTTGCAGTGGAAGCAAATTAAAAATGACGGCTCATACAAATGGCATTCTTCAAAACAGAAAATGTTAATGCTAAGTCAAAGATAGGAAAATCAAAGGAAGCACAGCACTCTTTCATTCAAGGTCCGTGGGGAATCGCATTCCCAAACAGTAAGTCAAAATTCAAAATTCACCAGTTGTAAAAACAGGATGAAATCAGATCGCAATAATCAGTTATAATCCAAGGTTGATAATCTTCTCAAACTGCCAACAAACTTCATTGCCACCTCACTCAGTTTAGGCTCTGGGAGTAGGAAAGATTTTAAACTCCACTACCTTGCAGCTTCCAATCGAATCACAGTCTCAAATTAGCGAATCAGTCTTTTAGTTTGGCTGGGATGAATAGACTTCCTCAAGCAATATAGCCACAGCCTCGGGGCGCCATAGCAGGCATCCTCTCACTGTGCCGACATCGGGGAGGTACTTCAGTCTCTTCGTGCAGCCTGAACTTTCCACACGGAGCTGGCAAACTCCCCTCTTTCCCACCAAGCTTTTCCGCTCAGTGGTGGCTTCAAAGAAATTTCAATGAAGCCACCGGGTACAGCAAACGGAGAATTGGCTCAGGAGAAGAGTCCCTTGCCTCCTCCGGCTGCTGTGACATCACAGGATTAATGTATTCTTAATAGGCGCCTTGGATTAGTTGTAACCCCGGAGGACCTATCCAATGGGACCAAAGGGGAGGGAATGGGGCATTGCTATAGGGTGTATAGTCTCTGGCTAGGGGTTTGCTGGAAATATTACATGAGGGAAGTCATTGGGGAATACAGGCAATAGCAGATGAAGTATTGAAACATTATGGATGCAAAGGAATTTATACATAAACTAAGCAAATCATTGATAAATATTTAATATGTAAAAAGGTAAACAGACAAGCCATAAGAAGGCAACAAGCTGGAGGAAGGCCCCTGCTTTCAGACCTTTTCAATGTATTCAGGTGGATTTTACTGAGTTACCTAAGATAGGGAGGCTAAATACCTGCTGATAATTATTGATCATCTGACAGGATGGGTGGAAGCTTATAGTAAGCCTGTAGCTTGTAGTAATGAAACCACAAATGTTGTGTCTAGAGTACTGCTGGACCAAATAGCACCTAGATATGGACTGATCACTCAGATTGATAGTAATCAGGGAAGCCATTTCACTTCCAAAGTATTACAAAATATAATGGACACTTTGGGAATAGATTGGAAATTCCACATGCCTTGGCACCCAGAAAGCAGTTCAAACAAGCCATCAGCCAAACAATGCAGGCTGGTGACCCCCAGGGGGAGGGCCTTCTCTGTGGGGGCTCCCACCCTCTGGAATCAGTTGCCCCCTGAGATAAGGAGAATCCATGACCTCAGTGCCTTCCGCCGTGCCCTTAAAACCTTCCTTTTCCAACAAGCCGGGCTGGCCTAATTCTTTTTAAGTGTTTTTAATTGTCTGGTTTATTGTTTTAATTAATGGGGCCAAATTTATATATATATTTTTTAACTGTATTTTAATATTTGTATCTGATGTTTTTATTTGGCTGTTCACCGCCCTGAGTCCTCAGGGAGAAGGGCGGTATACAAATTCAAAAAATAAATAAATAAATAAATAAATAAATATTGAACGAGCAAATGGAAAAATAAAAAATCCTTGACCAAATTAATATTAGAGACCCATTTGTCATGGACCAAATGTCTACCCTTGGCTCTCTTGAGAATAAGAACACAACCAAGGAAAGATATTGGGTTATCACCATATGAACTAATGTTGCATTTACTCCAGGGGAAATTTGCATAGATTCGTTGCAAACTAGAGATAGAGTGCAATAGGTGTATAAACTGTCCAGCTACTTCGACGTTCTTAGGAAATAAGGATTGTTGGCGCAAACACCTCCGTTGGAGTTTCCAATCCACAAATTCCAAATCGGTGACTGGGTGCTGATCCAAAGCTGGAAAGAGAAAAAACTCACACTCAAGTGAGAAGGACCTTTCCAGGTGCTGCTGAAGTCCGAAACAGCTGTCCGGAAGGCAGAGAAAGGCTGGACACACTATATCAGAGTGAAAGGACTGTGGAGGCCCCAACAGAGTGGGAAAGCATTCCTCAAGCAGACCCACTGAAGCTAACTCTAAAGAGGAAATAGAGTTTAAAGAATTATTAATCTGTGAAATTCGTCTAAGCAAATTCAAACTTTTTAAATAGCTGGTGAAGAAATAATAGAACTAAATCAGAGGAAGTGGGAGAAAGACTTGGTCAAACCCCTATCACTTCTGAGGAAGTTACATAGAGACATTTGCTATCCTTAGCTGGGAATTAGCAAGCAGAATCATGAAAATTGATAAATACTGTGCAGTGGTGAAATGTAAAATTTGTTACTACCGGTTCTATGAGCATGGCTTGGTGGGGGGGTAATGTGACTGGGTGGGCGTGGCCAACATTTTTTTTTTGCTTTTAAAACCATTTTTTCTACAACCTCTTCGGCTGAAGAGGTTGTAAAAAAAATGCTTTTAAAAGCCTCTGACAATCTCAGCTGAGTTGCCTGATCATCAGAGGCTTTTTTTTTCTTTTAAAAGCCTCTGATGATCCCAGCTGCCTGATTGTCAGAGGCTTTTTTCTTTTAAAAACATTTTTTTCTACAACCTCTTCGGCCGATGGGAGGGGGCAAGGATTTTTGTTACCGGTTCTCCGAACCACCTGCCGCCATTGCTACTGGATTGAGCGATCCTGTCCGATTCGGGAGCATTTCACCTCTGGTACTGTGGATGTGTTGGTTCTGTGACTGCAAGTGTTGGTGTGAGTGCTGCTGCTGCAATGCTGCTGCATTGTTCAGATTGTGCCCCAGTACACAGAAATTGTAAGGAAGAGTGCAACATTGTCGTTATTGAGGATTTGATCCCAGAATTATGAGCCTTTTCCAAGTGTTGGTGTTACTGGGAATTTTTAGAACTTTACAGGGGCTGTGTATTTTAGATGGCCCAGGCCATTGGACAATGAATAACCAGGCTTTACAATATCAAGAGTCTGAGGCCTCTCAGAACTTGAGTTGTTATAACTTATTATCCTTATACTGCAATCAGTTAAAGGAAATTAGGCACGCATTGCACCAGAGTTGTAAGGACCAGCAGAACCTCAGCTTGTGTAACAACATTCAAGGGATACAATGTAATCAAGGATACACCCAAGTCAGTTTTTCACTCATTTTATGAGGAGATGACGAAAGGGTATGAGTTAATGGCAGAGATAGCTGATGCTAACATAGCTGAAAGTATAGCTGGTATATAGAGAATAGAATAGAATAGAATAGAATAGAATAGAATAGAATAGAATAGAATAGAACAGAACAGAATTTTTTATTGGCAAAATGTGATTGGACACACAAGGAATTTGTCTTGGTGCATTTGCTCTCAGTGTACGCAAAAGAAAAGATACGGTCATCAAGAATCATATAGTACAACACTTAATGATAGTCATAGGGTACAAAAAAGCAATCAGGAAACAATATCAATATAAATCATAAGGATACAATCAACAAAATTACAGTCATATAGTCATAAGTGGAAGGAGATGGGTGGTGGGAACGATGAGAAGATTAATAGTAGTGCAGACTTAGTAAATAGTTTGACAGGAATAGTTTGAGGGAATTATTTGTTTAGCAGAGTGGCATTCGGGAAAAAGCTATTCTTGTGTCTAGTTGTTCTAATGTGCAGTGCTCTATAGTGTTGTTTTGAGGGTAGGAGTTGAAACAGTTTATGTCTGTAAATATTTTCACAACCCTCTTTTTGACTCGTGCAGTATACAGGTCCTCAATGGAAGGCAGGTTGGTAGCAATTGTTTTTTCTGCATTCTAATTATCCTCTGAAGTCTGTGTCTGTCTTGTCGGGTTGCAGAGCCAAATCAGACAGTTATAGAGGTGCAGATGATAGACTCAATAATTACTCTGTAGAACTGGATCAGCAGCTCCTTGGGCAGTTTCTGAGTTGGCGCAGATAGAACATTCTTTGTTATATATATTTATTAAATGTAACAAATATATATATATAAAATGTGGAGGTACAAAAGTGGGAGGAAGGTGGCCATGGGAGGCCAGTGAGGTAGATCTAAGTAATACTAGCTGGAGTTGGGAATTTAATTTTACCTAAACTCGAACTGGTGCATGGGTATTAGATTACGAAATAATAGGGAAAACATGCTTAAAAAAAACAGAACCTGGTGAAGATGTAGGAGATATGGTGCATGAAGGAGTCTTGGCTTGTAACTCCAGTAACCAACCAGAATGGTAGAGTGGAACTAATAGAACATTGGCAGGATGGTATAAAAACATTTTCAGTAAATGGAAAGGACTGGAAGGAATCACCAGAATCTGTCACAAAAATATAATCCGGGTGGCACCAGAGGGGTTATATTGGATCTGTGGGAAGAAGGCATATGCACACCTGCCAATTAATTGGAGTGGGACATGTATATTAGGAACCATATGCCCTAATTTTTTTCTAATCCCTATCCAGAAGGGAGAGATTTTAGGGGTACTAGTATATGATGACTCTGGAGCAGCCGGATATAGACCCAGGGAAAAGCGGGGAGTAAAAGATAAGAAGCAGAGTAAGGCAAAAGAGAGACTAAAGAAGTTGATGGGGAATAAAGTACTGAAATTCTCGAGGTGGGCACCCTCAGATTGGCCTCCAGAGAGGATAATCACAGTATATGATCCTGCAACATGGGCAGCGGATGGAACTTATAGGTACCGCACTCCAATATATATGCTAAATAGGATAATTAGGCTGCAAGCTGTGGTAGAAATCATAATTAATGAAACTGCATTGGCCCTAGATCTAGTAACTGAAATGAATACGAAAACGAGAACAGAGATCTACCAGAACCAATTAGCCTTAGATTATTTGTTAGCAAAAGAAGGAGGAATGTGTGGTAAATTCAATTTAGCAAATTGTTGCCTAGAAATTGATGATACTGGAGAAGTAATTAGACAGATAACAGATCAAATGAGAAAGATTGCCCATGTCCCTATACAAACTTGGACTGGAATCTTGGATGATGAAGGATTTTTAGGTGGAATCTACAGAAATTGGAAACAAGCCCTATTTATGGTAGGCATGATATTCTTTGGATTTATGTGCCTGCCATGTTTAATTCCTGTAATAAGAAGTATTGTACACAACACTGTGGAAGGAATGATGAATGTAACTAACAAAATAAGCAAATAATGATGTCAACAGAGGTAACTGAACATACTGCAATTATGAAATATGAACATGCTGAAGAAATTAGGGAAAGTTTGAAACCTTTCAATAAGTAAGTTTTATTTTTGAAAATGAATAAAGAATAGAAAGGGTGGATTTGTAGGAAGCAATGAAATTCAAAAATAAAATCCTTTGTATTACCAACCATTAGGAAGTAGTCATGCTAAAACAGCACATGGCTAGGAAATTTGGATGATAATAGCACGTAAAACAAATGAGGGTGGTAAGGGGGTTAATGTATTCTTAATAGGTGCCTCAGATTAGTTGTAACCCCGGAGGACCTATCCAATGGGATCAAAGGGGAGGCATCGTGATAGAGTGTATAAAATGTCATGTTTTTTAATTCAGGGGTGTGGCTTTTGGATTAGAACTTCCTGTTGAAGCTTCTAGCCAAGATACCACCGCACTTTGCAAACTGCTTTTTTTTAAAAAATTATTTTGGGTAAATAAACTTCTTTTCTTACCAATCCAAGTTTTTTTTGTGTGTGGAATCATTTCCAACATGGTTGAGTCTGTTTGTGGGTTGTGAGATTAAGGAATTTTCATTGTGTTTTCTGACCGCTAGTTATTTAAGGGTGTACTCTGCTAGTCTTTTGCTTGTCTTCCTAAATAATGACTGTTACAGTGTATGATGAACTGTATATTGTAGATGAGCCCTGTTTTTCTATTTGAGCCTTTTGCTTTTTTGGTTTACTTAAGTTATTTTGGAGGGCTTTGATTGATTTGTGTGCTACAGTAATGCTATGTACTTATACCACTGCAATCACATTGTGTTATATGGTTATATCAATGTAATCAAGGAGTAATGATTAGGAAACTCTTGAATTATGTTTACATCTTTACTGATATAATAATATGTACGATGTGAAGATATGATGTCCTGTGGCCACTAAAGAGTACTATTTTGACCCAGAAGATCCCCAAGTCTCAATCAATGCATTTTCAAAAATTTAAAGAAGACGAGAGTGGAAAATTTTACACTTTTTCCCCTTTTTACTTTCCCTTCCTCTTAGCTATGTATTAAAATATAGTTTATAAATTAGAATTCCTACTATTTTATATATTTTCATCATTTTAACAGTTCCAGAAAAAACATTTCTCAATAGGCATTCCTTCTGTTATAACAGGATGACCACATCTGGGTGGCAAAAATTTAAAGAATCTTTAGGGGGCAGATAACTAACTCTTTGGTGCCATCTAGTGGTCAGCTGGAATTTTGCAGGCCAGATTTGGTACCCTCCAAATCAGAACCATTTCTTGAAACTGGAGAAGGTTAGAGTTGAAATTAATTATTTACCACACAAAAGAAAATTTTACAGATGGAAAAGCAGGTCTTTTCATAAAAATTTGCCTGGTTGAATCACTGACTCATTCAGTAACATCTGACAGAAAAAAAGTGGGGGAAGTGTTTAAGTTTACTTAAAATATGTTCTGAAGTCTGAGTCACCAGTCCTTTTTTGGAATGATAAAGAAAAATTTGTACTAGGAGGAAAGAGCAATCATCTGAAAGGCAGTGACAGCTAAAAATATTTCACAGTCCTCCCAATTCAAGAGATATTTTCAATTCTATATCATCCTGATACTATCCTTCACTTAAAAAAACGTTGCTAGCTTACCACAGATGGTTACTTCTTTGGCATAAGAAGTTGAGAGATGATTGATGTTTGGCATTTGTTGAAGGACTTTCCTGGTTTCATGAAACAGCTGAAGCACATATCTAGCATGTAGCTGCTGCAAAGCATCATATATGAAGACAAAAACAGCATGTTATGGCATCCATTCACTAAAGCTAAGTGAAAATGATGTTGTATGTCTGAGAAAAAAATTAATATTTTTTAGGACATTTAGAGGCCCTGCTTGCTCGAAGAACAAGTGGCCAAGATCTTTAATGCTATTCTAATAAAGATCTCTGAACTGTACTTGGGCAATACTGATTGCAACCAGTATATTACACCACTCCTTTAAAAAATGAAGTACTAAATAGTTTCAGCATGTTTGTTAAGGTATCCAAAGCCCATGATTTGGATTTAGAGCCAACCAAGGAAATGAAAAAAAAAAAATCCAGAAATTATGATGTACTATATTAGAGGTGGGAAACTATGGCTCCTTTATGACTTGTGGACTTCCACAAGTCCACAAGTCATAAAGGGGCCATAGTTCCCCACTCCTGTACTAGAGCCTTCTTTGATTTGACCTTATCTAGATGTATTTCTTCAAAGACTATCATAAGGATACCTCATTTTCTCATTTTGTTATTATCATGATAAATTGTAAAATGAATGGTTAAATTACAGGTAGTCCACGACTTAACAACAGTTCATTTAGTGACCATTCAAAGTTACACTGAAAAAGGTTACTTATGACAGTTTTTCACAGTTATGATCTTTGCAGCATCCCCATGATCATGTGATCAAAATTTGGACGTTTGGCAACTGCTTCATATTTACAACTGCTGCTGTGTCCCAGAGTCAAGTGATCCCCTTTGGCAACCTTCGGCCAAGCAAAGTCAATGGGGAAGACAGATTCACTTAACAACCGGGTGATTAACTTAACAACTGCAGGGATTCACTTAACAATTGAGGCGAGAAAGGTCATAAAATGGGGCAAAACTCATTTAACAAATGTCTCACAACAACAGAAATCTTGGGCTCCATTGTGGTTGTAAATTGAGGACTACCTGTATTAAACCATTGGTCTTAACTTGCCTGTTGATCTTTGAAAGCCTGAAGAAGTACTTCGGTATCAGCGACAGTGAGAGGAAAACAAAGATGAGGCCCATGATAAGAGGTTGGTACTTCTATTATTCTTTCATACTCTATCATGGCATGATCTGAGTTTGATATGGCATAATCACTACTAGTAGAGAAAAAGTGGGAACTGATTTCTATAAAGGAAGCAGAAAATGCAGCTAATAAATATCTGGTTAATAATCATGTCCACAGATAATGGCTTGCATGTAGCATTTACTCCTACTCTGAGCAGACTCTAGGCTAAGACAGACAATGGGAGTGGGAGGAAAAGGGGTGCCATCTTAACTAAGAACTTATGCAGTGTAGTACCGTACGGGTTTGCATGTTGGACTAAACTGAATTTAAAAGTGGAACTGCAAAGTTCTCTTTTTCAGACTTTTAAAAGTTTGTTTTTTTGCAAGAGCAGTTGCTAGATGTAATTAATGCTGCTTTCAATAAACTATGCTTGTTGCTTTTAACCACTTCATCGTGTCTGACTCTTGATGACTTTATAGGCAAGTGCTCTCCATGCTAGCCTGTCAAACACAACATTTTTCAATTGTAATATGATAACATAAATTCAATAAACTGTAAACTATGTATATTTTTTTCATGGATAGAATTACAAAAAAATATTTGTTTATAGCATGTTCAGAGCTATATATCAATGTTTCTCAACCTTGGCAACTTTAAGATATATGGGTTTCAACTCTAAGCATGAATGGCTTGGAATTCTGATTGTTGAAGTCCACCTATACACTACAGTTTCCAAGGTTGAGAAACCTTGCAAAGACTCACAATTGTGCAGCCAGATTTTTCTTTGTTCCCCCTCCATTTTTTTCCTGGGAGCCCTCAATTGTAGAAACTGCAAAAAGGGGTATCCCCATGATCAGTATTTTTTCTTCTACCAGAGAACATCTATTTTCACTACAATGCACAAATCTCACAAACTAAACTTCCTAAAACTATAAATATTAGTGAGCCACAATTTCTAGCATCCCTCTATTAGTCTTGTTAGCTGTGACTAGTGGGAGTTGCAGTTCAAATTTTGGTGAGCCTCTTCTCTTCTGCATGAAAAAATAATAACATAGAAATATAGAAAAATAATTACATAGAAAAATTCATTAATAATTAAAGAGAAAAAAAATTAAAACCAGAGTTACAAACATTGCCAAATATAACTTTTCACAGGAACATTTTCTTAGGAACACACTTTGGCATATTCAAAATTAGGTAATCATGAAAATATTTTAGCATGAATCTGAAAATAAAATATTTGTTATTTTCTATTTGCTATTGATTCTAAGATTAATGAAGCCTTTTATAAGAGCTAGATTCTTGATATCAATATTAAAAATAAATTGAGCAGGAAAGCAAAGTTCTTCTCCTATACCACTGTGGTTATGAACAATCAATTCCTACTTTAATTGACCATTTAATTGGAAAAGCACACGTGCTTATCCAATTCTTAGATTTTTACTCTTCGAACACATAAAAAAATTTTCATTTGCATGTGTGGATCCTGAAGATAGTGGCTCTGAAGATAGTCACAAAAATAGTACTGATACCTATAGATTTGTCAATGGTTGACTTGTCATTTTTCTTAGAAAAATATGCCAGTGCAATTTATTAAAAACAATTTATTTTTCTAAAATCCTCACCTGGGTCTGTCTTATTGGTCTGAGTAAAATGGTCCAGCATAAACGTGAAGAATTTGGAGAGCTGAGTAAGAGAACATCTGTTAGTTATTAATCAAAATCACTGATTTATTGCACATTTACCGGGGATCCACCTACTAAAACTCCCAGAATTCCTGACCCAGCCGTGCTTATGGTCAGTTGAAGTCCACAAGTTATAAAAGGGACATAGTTCCCCACCCCTGTATTAGAACACTTGACAACATCCCAAGCCTCATACTTAGTTTTAATGCTATCCCTTGCATGCATGAAACCTTTTCCAGCTCAAAAGACATAAATATAAACAACTCCTACTCTGTGCATAAAAACTACTCTACTTCTCTATCACTCCCCCCACACACCCCGTTCCTGATTCATGCACACAGCAGATGTTAGATCGGGAAGAAGCAACTCTTGGTCCTTGTACTACACACACACACCACCTAATTTCCTGTAGCCCTTGGCCCCATTACCAAAGCTTCCCCTGCAGTCATCTCAGATGTATGGCAAGAATACACTGTACAGGAAGTCCTAGACTTATGACCACAACAGAGCCCAAAATTTCTGTTGCTAAATGGGATAGTTGTTAAGTGAATTTTATCCCATTTTTCAACCTTTCCTGCCACAGTTATTAAGTGAATAACTGCAGTTGTTAAGTGTTGTGGCCTGCTGGTGGCCAGAGTCAGACAGTGAGGAGGTTGGGGAGGAACATGGGCCAGTCCTGGGGGCTGGGGAAAGCTTGGACAAGGACTCTGTGTCAGAGGCACAGAGGGAGATAGCAGCGAGGCAGAGGAACAGCTGGAGCCTGTTCCCAGTGTGCGCATGCGCAGAGATGCCAGAAGACAAGAACAACTCAGAAAGCAGGGTTGACTTGGGAGTAAAGCCACACCTTGGAGATGATTGGCCCCTCCCACAGGAAACAAAAGAGGAATGAACGGGGAGGGGGCTTTTGCAGGAAACAATTCGTTCATTCGGTAGTTGCAAGAGTGGAAAGTTCTGTTCGTGACTCTAAGAGACTCTGTGCCAACTTTTGCATTACTTTGTGTTTGGAAACAAGTTACACAGCAACTTGCCAAACAAGATAAGGTGTGTGATAAATATTCCTTTGAAAAACTGGACAAACCTTGCTGACTGTGAATGAAAGTAATTCACAGTCCTGTAAATAAAAGAGGTTTTGCCGGGACCAATTCCTGCTTCCTGCTTGTTAAGGGAGCCTAGGTCAGAACATTAAATTAATCTGGCTTCCCCATTAACTTTGTTTGTCAGAAGGTTGCAAAAGGTGATCACATGATGCCGGGACACTGCAACTGTCATAAATATAAGTCAGTTCCCAAGTGCCTAAATCTTGATCATGTGACCATGGGGATGCTGTAACAGTATTAACTATGAAAAATGGTCATAAGTCACTTTTTTAAATGTGTTGCAACTTCAGTGACTAAATAGTACTTAGCAATAGCACTTAGACTTATATATTGCTTCACAGTGCTTTTACAGCCCTCTCTAAGCGATTTACAGAGTCAGCATATTGTCCCCAACAATTTGGTCCTCATTTTATTCACTTCGGAAGGATGGAAGGCTGAGTCAACCTGAGTCAAATGAACTGTTGTAAGTCGAGGGCTATCTGTATTGGCTTGCTTGTTACAAGAAAGGTCAATAGTGTCAGGAAGAGAAAAGGATAAAAGCAAAGTTCAAGAGATGTGTTTTTTTTCCTCTGGCCTTTCTCTCTCTTACTCCTGTGTCCCAAAGAAAACTCATATTGCTGCCAGAGTGTAGAATGAGCAACAATGTAGTGTAGTGGTCAGGGGCGATATTCACTTACCTTCTCTACCAGTTCGCAAATGTGAGTGCGCGCACAGGGCCTTCCGCGCATGCGCAGAGTATTAAAAATGGGATGTGATGACATCTGGGTAGGTGGGCGGAGCCTCCTGCAGCCACCACTACCGATTTGCCTGAACTGGATAGAACCGGCTGAATACCACCACTGGTAGTGGTTAAAGAGCAAGATTAGGACTAGAGAGATCTAAATACAAGTCTTCACAATAGTCCAGTCACAACACCTAAGTTGTATTTGTAAAGAAAAAAAATTGGTGGCGGGAGAAGAGCTACGTACAGTACATGTATACCAAAAGATAAGTGAGCAAATCCAAAGACAGTGTGTGTCTTGTCCAGGACGTTCAACAATATTTTTTGTTCATATTTTAAACAGTCTAGCAACTCTAAGCACATTGCAGATACAATTTAACATTCTGCATTAACATGGCAGAATCTAAAAGTGCTCGAAAATGTTCCATTATTTAAATACTGTAACATATAATATATGAGAACAAACGTTTGCACTAAATCTTTACAATACTGATAGAGCTGCACATGCAGAACATCCCAAGTCCATATCGTCAGCATTATCCATTAGAACTGGAAAAAGTCCTTCCTGCAAACCATCCACAATATTATGCTATATTCGCCAATGTCATAACTTGATTTAAGGCCAGCTCCAAGGCCCTTAACATTTGCATTCCAGACTTGATTAAATACCAGAAGAATCTGAGTCCAGTGTGCATTTTAATAAAGTTAGCTTTTAGGAAAGGGTAGATGTTTCCAAATATATGAAAAGTAGCATTGTTTAAAATCCACTTGCAAAAAGGATGTCATATAATAATACAGTAGAAAGTTTATAAACTTTATAAGCTTTCTACTATATTATTATTGTCCTGAGATACCAGTTCACAAAGCCAACAATATGGCATTATTTTGCAAGCCTTAAACAATATAAAAATATTTAGGCAAAGTTTGTCCTCTGAGCTTGCTGCTTGGCTCCTGGAGGTTTCATTACCAAACTAATAACATCTGCCTAAATCTACAACCCGAGCTAAGAATATTCTCTACAATTTCTAATGTGTAAATACAGGTAATCCTCAAGTTACAAATGTAATGGAGCTTGCCAATTATATACATAACTCGAGGATTCATAAGAGTGAATCATCATATTCTAGGGATTGACATTGTGGTGGGAACAGCTGGAAAATAGCAAAGCTCTGCCGGGCCCCATGAAATGCAGCCGGCAACTGCTTGCTGGGAGACCCTAGTGGGTCAAGCTGTGCTGGAGGGGTGGTGGAGAAAGGAGAGGTGCTTTGTTGAGCACAAGGAAACAGCAATTTCTTTGTTGATCCGAAGAAAGCGCTCCCAAACAGCAGCAGGGATGATGGCCATCTTGGTCTGTCACAAGCTGAGACAACTGGGACACTAAGATCTTGTGCTGGAGCGGTGCGTGGACAGAGCAGTGAAACTGGGTGAGATAACTTCCAACTTTAACCCAAATATTTAACCCAAGTTAAAAATTTAAAAAACAATCTCCAAATAGTATGAAAGTGGCAATTGGATTTATGGAGAAGGATTAAAGACTAAAAATTAAAGAGAAAGACTAAAGATTAAAGACTCAGAAACAAAAGAAATACTTAAAAGATGTTTTAAAACACAGAAAGCCTGGAAAAAGTCAAACAACATTGTGAAAAGTGATTTTTGGGAGAAATTGCTTTTCTAAACTCTATCTTCAACCCCCCTAAATGGTTGACAGTCAGCTGTTTTGACTTTTACACTCTGTTGAATGCTGGAATTGGGAGCAGGGGAGCTATCTACTGGAGGAAGAAGATTACTGCAACATGGGAAATTTGACTGAACGTGATGAAAGAGAAAGCAAACAACACCTGAAAGACTACTTGACCTTGATGTTATCTTAGTAGGCAATTTGGAGGCTTGGAAATATCTACTGAGCTATTTGAAGATTTTTAAAGCAACTGAACTATAAATACCATAACTTTATTGAACCGTTCACTGAAAGGTGGATTTGAAAGATTGGAGGAAACCTGGTAGGCCAAGCTGGATTTGATTCACTAATATCATTTGATAGATCATCCTATGAGGCAAAAGAAGAAAAGTGATAGAAAGGAAGGAAAAAAAGGGGGGAAGAGATAAAAAGAAGAAAAGACAAATAAGACTCTAAAATTTGGATCATTGGGAAGATGTAAGTTGGAAACTATAAAGACTGTAAAGTATATATTTATAGCTTTTAAGGACTGGAAAGCTAGGGGATTTGGAGGAATAATTCTGGGATTGATAAATTTTATTAATAATTGACTTTTTTGAGTTTTTTTAGATATTGGGACACTGGAATATTAGAGATATATTGAATAATTTTAATATATTAATTTGGTACAAAATGACTGAGCAGGAAACAATAAAGTTCTATGAAGAAATGTTAATTATGGCTAAAAGTTTTTATGAAAATGTGACAAAGGATCATAAGGAGATGATGGGATTGTCCAAAGATAAAGAATTGCGTGTAGAAGATCCACAACAAATGGTGAGAAAAGATGAACAAAATATTCAGAAGATAGATGAGAAATCAGAAGGAGTGGTGGTGGAGACAAATCAAAATAAGCTACAAGAAAACAAAAACAATGAAAAGACAATAATGATAAATGCTAAGAATCAAATAAATAATTCCTTAAGAGCTTACAATAGCACAGAGAAAAAAAAGATTTCCTCAAAATAATGAAAGGGTTATGGATGGGCATCCAAATGATGCAGCAGAAGGAGATAAGGGGTAAGGCAGAGGGAACATTCAGTCTATGTAAAAATATTAGAAAGAAATATAGGATCACAAGAGAGAAATATAAAAGTATATAAGTCAATAAATGATGAAATTCTAAAAAGGCTGAGAGATGACGGAATAGAGACATGATATCTTGTAATACTGTAATTGTATTAAAAAATAATAGAAACAAATAGAAAGTATAAATTGGGAAAATAGTAACATATATAGATATATAATAGAATTTATTATAACCATAAATATACTAAAGTTAGGAAGATTGTGATTAGGCATATTTAAATGTATTATTATGATTAACAGTGTGCAATAAATATATTGGAATTTATAACTTTTAAAGACTACAAATTCATGGGACCCGGAGATATAATCCTGGGACTGATTAATTTTTATTAATAAATGGGTTTTTTTGGGTTTATAGAAAACTGAGATATTGGAAA